CAGAAGCCTGTGCAAACAACAGGAACTGGGGTGATCAGCCCGGAGCCAAAGGCCCTCCCAGACAACAGCTACACAGGGTCCCCAGCAAGAGGCATGCCTAGATACCATCCCAAGTGTGCACAGGCCTCAGCCAGAAGCCCATCCAGACAACAAGTCAGCTCAGGGATCCAGAAGGCCACCACTCTGAACCCAGGAATTGATGTTCTGGTGAGCAGCAGAGTAAAGGCTGTTCTGTGGCATGCTGAGAAATCAAGACCACTGGATGAGCAAAAAGCTGCCTCAACAAAAGGCACAGCAGGTTTCATCTGTTGAAATTAGAAGACACCTAAATAAGTCTCAAAACAAAACTACCAGATCACCTAAGGCAACCCCAAAGGGAAATGAGATGGAACAATTTGATACTCAACACCTGGACTCCCTGAAATGGAAACAAAAGAGGACCTGGGAAAAATGAAATCAGAAATAATTTCTCAGATAACAGCAGAGATTGTGCCCATAGTACAAGATGTGATTAATAAATCTAGAGTGGACAAAGATTAAAAAAAGTAGAGCAGCTGAGGAACATGATGGAATCCCAACACAGGAAACAAAGGGAATCCATAAAACACCTGCAAACAGATTTCCAAGAGATTAAAAACTCCATTGAAAGTTACATAGCACAATGAGCCAATGTGAGGACAGAATTTCAGATATAGAAGATAGGATTGCAATTAGTGATAAGGAAAAGAAAAAATTCTTAAAAATAGTAAGGGACCATGAGAAATCAATCCAGCAGTTGATAGAAGATGCAAAGAAGAACAACATAAGACTAATTGGAGTCAACGAAGAAACAGGAGAGAGTGCAGACGACATAAAAAAAGTTCACAGAAGTAATGGCAGAAAACTTCCCAAGCAGGGGAAAAGAACTTGACATACAGATAAGTGAGGCATATAGGACTCCAACTAGCCTTGATCAAAAAAAAATCTACCCATAGGCATATAATAGTTAAGATTCCAGAAACCCAACAGAAGAACAAAATTCTACAAGCAGTTAGAGAAAAGAAGCAAATCACTTACAAAGGAAAGCCCATCAGAATCACAGCAGATTTATAAGCACAAACCCACAAGGCAAGAAGAACAAAGAGTGATGTATTTCAAGCCATAAGGAAAACAACCTCCAACCCAGATTGAGGTACCCTGCAAAACTATCATTCAAAATAGATGGAGAAATAAGATACTTTCATGACAAAGAGGAGTTTAGAAACTTCATGAATACCACACCAGCACTCCAAAAAATTTTAAACAATATCCTGTGAAAAGACAATGAAGATCACAAGCCCCGGACACCTAGCAGAATGAATCCATTGGTCACGACATGACATTAAATGCAAAGAGGGAGGAGCCAACAAAAAGAAAAAGTCATGACAAGGATAAGTCAATACATGTCAGTAACAAGCATCAAAGTTAATGGTGTCAATTCACCAAACAAAAGAAATAGACTGGCAGAATGGGTCAAGAAGCAAGATCCAACAATATGCTGCATACAAGAAACACAGTTAATTCAAACAGAAACTCATAGACTGGAAGTTAAAGGATAGAAAACAATATTCCATGTGACAGGAAGGCCCCCAAAATTAGGAGTAGCTATCCTCTTTGCAGATCAAGTGGATTTCAAACCAACATTGATTAAAAGAGACAAAGAAGGGTACCACATCCTTGTGAAGGGCACAATCCAAGAGGAAGAGATGACAGTCATTAATATATATGCACCAAACACTAGTGCATCCAACTATATAAAACAAATACTAATGGACATGAAAAATCAAATAAGCACTAATACAATAGTAGTGGGGGACCTCAATACCCCACTGTCACAAATAGATAAACTAGATAAAAAATAAACAATGAAGTACTAGAACTCAATCAAACTCTTTCAGTGAAGACATGTGGCACAAGTCCTCCAGTTCCATTTCTGTAATGCCTTTACATATGAGAGCTCTACTAAGGCCACATATGGCCCCATAACCACTGATACTACTCAGACCTCCAAGCCACCATTTGCATTCAGGGTAATCTGTTCTCTGGTATATCACTAGGACATCTATTCCCCATCAATGTAACTACACATTACTGTTACTGGCCTCAGGTGACCATGACAGTTATCAGGTTACTCAAGGCTACTCAGGATGCCCCATTCACTCAACTTGTCCATTTTTCTGGCCCTCCCAAAGATAGGACAACAACACTGCTAAATAAATAGTCAGGGTTCTCAAAGACCACCATTTTTCATGAATGACCATATACCTATGGGTCCCTCATTATGAATCTCACACTTGCTCTGACTGCCTCCTCTTGGTTACCTTTAACCACTCCTCACAATGGCTTCTAATAAACACCAAAAGATTCTTCCTTCAATCAGAAAACAGGACAATAGGTACCAATAAAATCCCCCACTAGGGACCCTTCCAGCTCCTAACAGGTTCTGTCCTGGCAGACATCTGGGAAAGCAAAAACTAAGAGTTTACCCACCTCTTTAACATTCACAACCAACTCTGCTTACCCAGCCAAGGTGTCTTTATCCTTTGTGGGACTTCCAACTACCTGTGCCTCCATAATTGAACATAATTGAACCAGCACCTGCACACTGACCTACCTCACCCAAAAAGAGACATTGCCCTGGGAAACCAGAGCCTGCCTGTTGCTGTTAGAGAGCAGGTCTGACAACATAGAGCCATACATTTAATGCCCCTCCTTGTCAATATGGGCATCTCTGCTGCTGCAAGGACTGGCATAGCAGGTTTAACTACTTCCCTGACCCACTATCCCTCCCTCTTCCAAGATCTTTCTGACAGCCTCAAGGAAATAGCTGACTCCATTTTCATCTTATAGAAACAGATAGACTTTCTGGCTGAAGTAACTCTACAGAATCATCAAGACTTAGATCTTCTGACTGCTGAGAGAGGCAGGTTATGCCTCTTTCTAGAGAGAGTGTTGTTTTTTATTCCAGTTAGTCAGGCACAGTGTGAGATGCCTCTACAGGACTGACCTAAAGGGCCTCTGAAATTAGACAACATCTCTGACTCAAGCTTATATTTGGGGCTGGGCCACATGGTTTCTTCCATTAACTGGACCTCTTGCTTGTATCATCTCCTCCTTACCTACACTGGTGGTGTAATCTTTACAGTATCCTTTATGATCATTTTAATACCCATGTAATTTATAGTGGTATATATTCTCACTAATAATTTATATTTCCTTTTTAAATCTTTTATCAGTCTTGCTGAAATTTT